AGAGTTGATTGAAAAGCTCCATCAAAAGTATATACTATGGTCATTTTGGCATCACATATTTTACGTTTTGTCAAGTTGTAATTCTGCAAATCCCCTTCTTGAATTAATTATGGTCGTTAATTAAATGTAATTTCATGCATGGAGTTGTTGATGCAAATATACTATGAAAATACGATGTCCCTATATATGACTATGGCCATATAAGGTATTTCTCGAGCAAGTATGTTGTATGCTTTTATTTCTATCTATATACTTAAGAGAGGTAATCTTTTGTAGAGTTAATAATAGTATAAGAATCCAATATTAATGTAATTCTATTTGTAAGGCCTATTCAAAGAAATTAATAAAAAAATTCTATAGGAATGCATATTTTTTTGGGTTTGGTGTAAGAAATAATTAAATATTTCATGAATAGATAATAAATAAGATATTTGATAAAGTTAGAAGCATTTTGATTCACTATGGTTTTATTGTATTGGAGGAATAAAAAAATTATTTGAGAATAGAGAAATAGGTGGTGCACATTTTTTTAAAAATTAATTTAGTTGAAAATTTATATTTTAATAAAATTCCTTTTTCACTAATGTGTGATTGCTATTACTGTCACAATCTCTTTTTTATTTTATTTATTTCTCAAGTTCAATTATAAGCTAATTGTGATAGAAAAATTTATTACTTATTATGATTTTCTTTTGTGACAAATTGTATATATCATCACAAAATGTAATTGTTACGAATGAAAAAGCTTAGTCACAAATAAAATTTAGTATATGTGACAAAAATTAATCATTTATAACTAATATTTTATTAGTAAACAACTAATATTTTATTAGTAACTAACAGTTAACTTAGAGTGACAATTTTGATTGTAACAAATTTATGTTATTTATTGTGATGAATCTTTTATGACTAAATGTAAGTTTTGTGTCAAAATTATATATTTGAATTTCAAAAATTAGTATTAGAGACTAATATTTTGAATTAATTACAAATGTAAAAGATATTAGTGACAAAATAAAAATCAGTCACTATTTTCAATTACAAAAAACTCAGTTTTCTTGTAGTATATGGAAAACAAAAAAGATAAAGTAAACAAATGAATCATGAAAATCTTACTTCTATTTTGCTTTTGTGATAATAAATTGATGTTTTAACAACTAATTTTTTTAAAATTTCAAGATACCTTTTTATGACCATATTAAATAAGCTCAACTCCTAATGGTTATCTTTGAATCCTTATAAACCAAGCACATTGGCTTCAAAAGAAACTTATTTTTTTTATCTTGTATAGTTTCTTTTAATAGTTATTTGTTTTATATTTAAGTGCATTGATAACTTTAGCTTCTTACATTCTTAAATATATGTTATATATTGAAATTCTAGCCAATTATTGGTTACAAAATACATTTTTAAATTTTATATGAATTGGCTAAATAATGAGATGCATTTTATATGTTTCAATTTTAAGTTTTAAGCACCTTATATTCTTGAATTTGAAGTTATAGGATCAAGTTGTTCATTATGCAGAAGCTGGAGGATAAGATGTGCTATTTTATAATTGAGAAAATGAGGAATGGTAGCTGCACTCGCCTTTCTCCAGCACTCTCCAAGACTCTCTCATGTAAAATGTCCACGTAACAAAATTTGACTCGCAATTCAAAGTTTCCAACTAGAAAAGTTCACGTGGCTATTTTCGATGAGGGAGTGTTGGAGAGTGCTGGAGAAAGGCGAGTGCAGCTAGCATTCCCCTTGAGAAAATAGCAAAGCGATTGCGATAATCATCTGTATCTGCACCGTAAGCAGTTTTCGGGGCATGTGATTAAAAAAAAAAAAGACAAAACCCTCGAAATTCACCCCTCCGAAACAAGGGAGTAGGGATATATTTATTTTTTAAAAAAATATAAAAATAAATTATTTTTTAAAATTATAAATCAAAATAAATTATTTATTTTTAAATATGTAACATCAAAATTTTATTTATTATGTAAGTATTTTTTAACAAAAAATTGACATTACATGTTAAAAAATGAATAATTTATCTTAATTTATAATATTAAAAAATAAGTTACCTTTATATTTTTTTAAAGATAAATCTATCCTCACCCTCTATTTGAGGGGTGGGTTTATGGATTTTGCCTAAAATAAGTGATATACACCTTTTGTCCAAAAATCAGTCATTTTTTTATTTTTCCTTTAAACTAAAGATTTTAAAATCATTTATATATTTATTTATATTATTTTTAACAAAAAAATAAAAGATAAATTAAATTTTTTGTAATAAGATAATTAAT